GGAAATAATAATAATCAAATGGGGGAAATAATAATAATAATGAAATGGCTTTTGATTCCATTATTATTATTTGGGGGGGGAATAATAATAATCAAATGGCTTCCCATTCCATTATTATTATTCGGGGAGGGCGGGGGGGAGGGGGGGGAAAAATAATGATCAAATGGCTTCCCATTCCATTATTATTATTTGGGGGGGGGGGGGAAATAATAATTATGAAATGGTTTCCCTTTCCATTATTATTTGAAATAATGCCAGGGGGTCTCCATTATTTCTTCGCGTGCCCCCTGCTTTTTCAGGTAGCATGAACCCTAAACCCTAAACCCTAAACCCTAAACCCTAAACCCTAAACCCTAAACCCTTTTAGGGTTCATGTCGTCCCCAAGGCACAGAGCCATCGGAGCGGATGGCTGCAAAAGCCGCGTTCGATGCCTGGATCTTCTTCACATCTCGAAGTTGCTCTTGAACGTCTTCGCAGTCGGTGAACCCTAACAGGGTTTCAGGGTTTAGGGTTTAGGGTTTAGGGTTTAGGGTTTAGGGTTTAGGGTTATGGTTCATACTACCTTAATAAGAGTTACAGCAGTATTATAGGGCAGACATATACCCCAAGGTTAGGCTTCCTGTGGTCCCCTAGGTACTTCGAAGCCTCCCCAACACACAACCGTGCCATCCGCGCAGACAGCAGCAAAGGAGTCGGCGTTGGCCTGGAGCTGCGCGACGTTGCGCAGCTGGGACTGGACTTCCTCGGGGACGGACTATGAAGCCTAAAAGGGTTTAGGGTTCAGGGTTTAGAGGTTCAATATGACCTTAACAGGAGTGACAGTAGTATAGGGTATGGGACCCCAATTTTGGGGTTCATTTGGTCCCCAAACCCTAAACCCTAAGCCCTGGACCCTACACTTTAAACCCTGAACCCTAAACCCCAAACCCTAAACCCTAAACCCTGAACCCTAAGGTTCCGAGCTGTCGCCCCCACTGTGTGGATCGCCCCAGGCAACCACAGAGCCATCGCTGCAAATCGCGGCGAAGGCGAGGCTTGTCGCCTGGATCGCTTGAACTGACCTTGGGGACGAAAGGAACCCTTTAGGGTTTAGGATTTAGGGTTTAGGGTTTAGGGTTTAGGGTTTAGGGTCTAGGGGTCATATACCTGAATAGGAATTCGAGTGGTATAGGGTATAGTACCCCAATTTCAGGGTTGATTTGGTCTGCCAAGGGACAGGACGGTGGGGACATCTGCCTCACGAGATCCCCAAGTCACCACGGAGCCATCTTCACAAAGAGCAGCAAAGCCGTTGATGTTCCCCTTCCAGTTCATGGTTGGGAAAATGTTTAAAAAACTAAACGTATATTCCTTTTTGGGCTTAAGTACCCTTAGAAATCTAAAATGGTACCCAACTATGACAAAGCCTTGATCTTCACCACATTCTGCAGGCGTTCCTGCACTCGACTGCAATCTCCGCCGTACTTCTCGGGTCCCAGAGTCGTCACGGTGCCATCGCCATTGACACACGCAAAGGCCGACAAGGATGCGGACACCTCGCACTGACCCACCACAGCGCTTAGAAGGTCTCCATCGGAGATGCCTGCTTCCTTGAGGGCCAAGTGAACCCTAAAATTGGGGTCCTATACATGATATACTACTGTAATTGCTATTAAGGTATAGTTATGAAACGTATAATTATGAACATAAACCCCTTTACTTTTCTATTTTCGTCCCCAAGGTTCACTGATATTACTGTAATTGCTATTAACTAAGGTATATGAAACATAAACCCTCTTACTTTCTATTTCCGTCCCCAAGGTTCACTGATGCTCACGGTGCTCTGCAAGATGTTCCCACCCGGGCCAACGAGCTGGCGCAAGCCGACGCCGAGATCCTGCTGCGCTCGCAGCCTCAGCTCGCCGACCGTCGCGTGCCTTGGGGACGACATGAGCCCCAAAAGGGTTTAGGGTTTAGGGTTTGGGGTTTAGGGTTCAGGGTTCATATTACCATATTACCTTAGTAGGAATTATACGTAGTAGTATAGGGTATAGGACCCCAATTATAGGATTCATTGGGTCCCCAAGGTGCAGGGAGATGTCGACGTCGACATGACTGCCACTGGCCAGGGCCACAAGAACGTGCACCGACATGAAGGCAGACCTAAACCCTAAACCCTAAACCCTAAACCCTAAACCAGTGAACCCTGAAGGAACCTGAGACTGTGCTCCCAGCAGCCACAAGAACAAGCTCCTCCAAGCAATTCAAAAAATCATGGGCTTTGAGCAAGAAGGCCTCTGGCGTTCGGCAATCCACACTTCTTTGATGCAAGTACATCACGGAAAATCCCCCTATCTCACCATCACCCCCAAAGCGAGAACAAACTGTTTGCTAGCAAAGCCCTGATACTAGAAGAGAGGGTACGGAGCAGCTAGGCCTTAAACCCCCAGACCCAGCAACCTCAACCCGGGCTACCCTGAACCTTCGAAAGCACCCTAAACCCTAAACCCTAAACCCTAAGCCCTAAACCCTAAACCCTAAGCCCTAAGCCCTAAACCCTAAACCCTAAACAGCAGGCGATGCCTTAACGCTCAGGGGCTTTCGGTTGAAGGGATCATCGTCGTTGGACATGATGTGCCTCTCGATCACCTGCGAATCTTGGAGGCCCCTGGGTAGTTGTACCTTGTGACCGGCGTTTAGGGTTTAGGGTTTAGGGTTTAGGGTTTGGGGTTTAGGGTTTAGGGTTTAGGGTAGAGATAGATAAAAGTAGGGAGATCAGTGTGGCAGCCACTTGCTGATAAGCATCCATCAATCAATGAACCCCCAAGTAAGTAGGCGGTCCGCAGCCCAAAGCCCAAAGCCCAAAGCCCGAAATGCCTCCTTAGGGTTGAGGAGTCAGGGCACCGTTTGGCCGGATGGTGGCACAGGGGTAGGACCCGAGGCTTGTAAAGACCCGAAACATGGATCACTAGCTAGAAGAACAAGCCCCAAACCCGAACTTTGCGCCTTTGCCGCCCGCCGCATCCCCCACCCCTTCTCTCCCCCCAACCCCCAAAAAAAACCGAAAAAGTTGGCCCCTGAGGCTTGCACACCAAACCCCAAACCCCAAACCCCAAACCCCAAACCTCGCTAAACCCGGAAACCTACAACCCAAGCCTCAAGCCCCAAACCCTAAACCCAGACCCCAATAATTGCCTTCCTATCCATGACCGTGCTCGACGTGGGGAGTAGCACAGGGTCTACCTGGATAGAGGGGCTTTGAAGGCTTGGAGTTTAGGAGGTTTAGGAATCAGGGTTTAGGGTTTGGGGGTTTAGGGTTTGGGGTTTAGGGTTTGGGGTTTAGGGTTTGGGGTTTAGGGTTTGGGGTTTAGGGTTTGGGGTTTAGGGTTTGGGGTAGGGTTTGGGGAACTTAGGATTAGGGCTATAAGGCTTATGATACAAGGTCCAAGGACTTAGGGCTGGGGTTGAGGGTTTGGAGTTTTCGGAGGTTGCGGCTGGAGCCCAGGGCTTAGAGTTGAGGATCTGGATGTTCTTTTGTGTTTCGCGGCTTGGTAGGGTAGGAGTTAGAGTCAGGCTGGGGGTTTAGAGCTCAAGGTTTAAAGGTTCTAGCAAGGTTTAAAGACTTAGGACTAGGGCGTGGACCCCCCCCCCCCCCCAAAGTAACAGATCTTGGTTGACGAAAATATAAGGGCCGAACTCCTAAACCCTG